CGCAAATTTTCTAGAGGGACATCTATCACCGTTGCACTCGCATCTCGCACAAAGGAGCCGCATGTTTAGAAAGCCATGTAAAATTAATGCAAGTTCAACTTTGAAAAAAACATATATCGAGACTTTATGGCGGTGTTTTTTCCCCATCCCACTGCATCTCATGTTTTTAAATGACAAATGAACTCTGTGTGATTGGCTTTCCACCCTTTGTATTAAACTATGCATACATACGGTGGTAACATGGTACATTAATGGTATGTGATGGTAATTCCACAGGAATTTGAATCTTATTGCCAGATTCATATATCATGGTATTTACATAATATAGTCAAAGAATGCAACAGCAACCAAGGGAAAAAAACCTACATTGAAAAACAAATTGGTAGAAATGATTTTCACTCAGAAACTACTAATACATTTTACAATAAATTACAAAGGAATGGCAAATAACACTTTTTGAAGTAGAAAGGAGTGTTATTTTAGTGTCATTGAGATACTATTATACTTTTCATTAATATTCTGAATAAAGCATTTGAAAAACATTTTATATTTTCTGATTTGATTTTATTTCTACTTAAATTTTTAGTAATCTTGTTGTGTTTTTGCTATTTTTTTTATTTTATTTTAAATGTCTAGATTTTTTTTTTTTCAGTTTTAGTTTTACTTATTTTAGTACTTCAAGTTAAACTGTTAAAATTAGTTTTTAAATAGGTTTTATTTTATTTTAAAGTGTAATTTATTTAAAGCAATTGAAAATCTTTTTTGCTATGGTTTTAGTTTTAGTTAAAGACTGTAAAATGTACTCTAATAATCCTTTAGTTTTTTTTTTATTTACAGCTTAAAAAATTAAAATAATAATATAAATAAAATAAAAATAATTAAATTTTAATTGTACTCAAAATAGGCTACATACTAGTCTTTATGCAAAAGTATCATTACTATTGATTATTTATTTATTTATTTATTTTTTATTTGTGTTTTTTTTTTTTTTGAGTGATATGTGACTTTTTTGTCATGAACCTACAATTAAACACAGATTAAAGGGGTCATATGATGCGATTTCAAGTTTTCCTTTCTCTTTGGAGTGTTACAAGCTCTTGGTGCATAAAGAAGATCTGTAAAGTAGCAAAGACTAAAGTCTCAAATCCAAAGAGATATTCTTTATAAAAGTTAAGAGTCAGCCACGCCTACCTAAAACGGCTCGTTCTAACACGCCCCCACATATCTACCTCACTATGTGGAAATATTAGCATAATGCCGCCCAAATGTGCACGCAAAGAAAGAAGGCGTGGTTTCAGGAACAGCAGTAGTGTTGATGCAGCATGTCAGGGAGACGCTGTGATTCAGTGCGAAAGCAAAAGCACTTTATTTGGCCTTCCGGAAGTAGGCCAATAGGAAGTTGGAAGTTCCGGAAGTAGATGCAATTAGGAATCATTGGTTAAGATTTATTTACAACAGAACAGCACAACCCAGATTTTCGAATTTGTGCAACGCATTTTATGGACGACAGTTTTTTGAACCTAGAAGAGTACAAGACTGACAATGCACTGGGTCAGCTGGCCAATCAGAGCAGACTGCGCTTGTCAAAGGAGGGGGCTTTGTTGAAAACAAAGCGTTTGAGAGAGGCGGGGCATAGAGGACCTACAATAATGTACAGTATTTGGAAAATAATGTGTTTTTTGAACATTAAAGCATGTCAACATATTCTGTTACACCAAATACACAAAATAATGATCTTTAAAATAGCATCATATGACCCCTTTAACAGATTAACCTACAAATTTAAACAGTCTGGTTGACAAAATTGTCTTGTTTTCACTTGTTGTCTACTAATATTAATATTGTTTATTAATTCATTATTAATATTAATAATGTGATATGAAAGTTTATAGTACTCAATAGTAGTCAGCGCATACCATGGAATTAACATGTCAAAAATCCACAATTCCAGAAAGTGATTAAGACTCAAACAATGTCATACTGAGCTGCTACAGCAGTGTAATGGACACACAGTAACTACACCGGTGATATTATGTAACTCTCTTTCACCACAGGAGCAAAAATCTCTTCTCTTCTCAAACCCAGAAGGCAACATTTTAACAAAACCATCTGATGTGCTCAGAAAAGCCTGGTTAGTGTTAGAAAACTGCTGTGTGATGACACAAGCTCTGGTCAGTCACAGCACGTGAGGCTCTGTCAATCTATAACCACATGATCTAAAACTACAGATCACAACCAGAAAACCACCAGGCATGATGAAAGACACTGGGACAAATCAAATCCTGCATGTTGTTAAGACACTAATTCTCTGTACACCTGCTCATAAATATAATATTCTATGAAAATAACTAAAGAAATAGGAAAAATAATTAAATAAATATGGATAAATATAGTATACAAATAAAATAAATTTAATATATAATATGAATAAATGTAATGTAATTTATAATATAATAAATGTATAACAATAAATATAAGAAATCTAATAGCATTTAAGAACATAACATTCCACGAAAAGAACTAAAGAAATAGGAAAAATAATTAAATAAATATGAATAAGAATAGTATAAAAATAACAATATATATATACAATATGAGTAAATATAGTGTAATTCATATTATAATAAATATATAGTATAATAAATAACAATAAATATTAGAAATCTAATATCATCTAATAGATTAAGGACATAATATTCCATGACAATAAATAGTAAATATAAGAAACGTAAATATAGTATGTAATATTAATAAAATACAATGTAGTATATAATATTATAATATAAAAAATTATATATATGAATAAATGTAATGCAATATTTATAATAAAATATATAAAAATAAATATAAGAAATCTAAAAATCTAATAGCATCTAATAGATTAAGACAATATTCTACAAAAAGAACTAAAGAAATAGCAAAAGAAATATACATACACTAGCCTATTAATAAAATATAATATAGCATATATATAAAAACATATCATGTCACAAAATATTGCATATTCTATGAAAAGAACTAAAGAAATAGTAAAACACATTATTATCAATATTATTATGTAATATTAATAAAACAATGTAATATACAATATAAAATATACAACAATAAATATAAGAAAATGCATAGATTTAATAGATTAAAACACAAATACAGAGTAACAGAGCAAACTAGAATAGGACATAAAGCAGAAATGAACGTTAAACAACTGAGAATAAAATAGAATAGAATAGAAGAACAGAACAGAATAGAGTAGAACAGAACAGAATAGATTAGAACAGAATAGATTAGAAGAATAGAGTAGAACAGAACAGAACAGAATAGAGTAGAATAGAATAGATTAGAAGAATAGAGTAGAACAGAACAGAACAGAACAGAATAGAGTAGAACAGAACAGACTAGAATAACAGAACAGAATAAAATAGAACAGAACAGAATAGATTAGAAGAACAGAATAGAGTAGAACAGAATAGAATAACAGAACAGAATAAAATAGAACAGAACAGAATAGAGTAGAACAGAATAGATTAGAAGAATAGAGTAGAACAGAACAGAATAGAGTAGAATAGAATAGAACAGAATAGAATAGAATAGAATAGAGCAGTATGAGGGAGTGCAGGATGTGATCTTCAGTTCACACAACAACACTGATTCTGACAAACACAAACACCTAGTCACCTTCAAGCGCAGCAGCCAGCGCTCGCCAAACATCGCGCGTCGAGGCGTCAGTGAGCCGATGGCGGTGCTGTCAGCGCGATCACTGCAGCGAAAGAGCATTTATATCATTTCTATAAACACATAATCTCCGCCGACACTCGTCGCGCACCTCCGCCGCTGTCAAACTGCAGCCGTAGCTCTCGCGCGCCGCCCGGAAACGGCGTCATGACGCACAGATGATCATGCGGACGCACGAGCACACCCCCCGACACACCTCAGCGCACGGCCAATCAGAGCGCAGGACACGCCCCCTGACGGGAACGCCGAGGACAGATTGAATGGTTGGACTGCATTATACAGTAATATTCAGTGCATGCAGTGCGCATACTGTACACTCATCATCTCGCCAACATCCAGCTTAAACAATGACAGTTAGTATGCGATGTGATGCGATGCTGTAGTGAAGAGAATAAAAACACAAGACAAATGCAATTCAGTTATAGAACATAGACACAAATCTCTGCAAGACCAAAACAGTGATGATTATAATGCAATGCAAATATTTAATATATAGAAAAAGCAATGTAAAAACAATAAAATGGTGACAAAAAGGGTAAATCTCTGTCGAAATCACAACTACAACCATTTTTCATCCAGAATGTGTGTGTGTGTGTGTGTGTGTGTGTGTGACCCTGGA